CATATATGCATATAGCACATACACACACACACACACACACATATATATATATATGCAAATGTATATACATCTATTTAACACACAAATATATATATATATACATACACACACACACACACACACACATATATATATATATGTATACAAAATTAAACATACAAACCAAAATTTATAGACATACATACACACAAACACAAACACAGACACAAACACTAACACACACATCAACACACACACAAACACGCAAATGTGTATACGCACATACATGCACAATATATATATATATATATATATATATATATGTACTGAGGTAAATACATATAGATACGTATAACACACACACACACATACACACACACATATACACAATCTCTCACACACACATATATATATATATGTATATATGTGCAGGACAACAGATAAAGCTAAGATATAGCTAATGTACGCACCTTTACAGTTTCTTTCTTGGACACTAAGAACTCGGCGGCCTCCTTATCGCTGCCCTTATGTGCCGCAACTCTCTGCAATATTACTACCAGTGATAGTGGGTTCATATCCAATTCAAATGCATTGATAAAGTCATTGTATGTAGGTATAAGATCAGATTTTATGTCCTCAGATGTGGTTACATCCAGTAGCAATACGGTCAATTGATGCCATAGTTTGCGCTCGTACAGGTTTTCGAACTCTTGATAGATCGCTGCGTTGGCATGGGTACCAGTGCGTGCGCTGAGGTAGGCTTTCACGTCTGCGGGCATTATGACTACTATATATGAGATTTAAAGACATATACTTATGCACACATACATATACATATATACATACATATATATTTATATATTTATACATATATATATATTATATGTGTAAGTGTATATAAAATGTACGTGAGATGCTGTCGTCGTGGGTGTGGTACTTTGTTTACTGTATCACAGACATAGTGTCAAAACTCAAATTGCTGAGTTGTGGGGTGTACGAATTTGATGACAAAAACAAAAACAAAAGAGTACTCCCACCAGGATGAGTGGTAGCATGTAGGGTTTAGGGTTGCGCCACAACGTCGTTGACATTTGCGAGTTACGACAGCTATGTAGTGGTGCGTCATAGACTGTTTTAATTTATATATATATACATACGAGTACACATAGACTGTTTTGATATATATATATATATATACATACATATACATACATATACATACATATACATATATGTGTATGCTTGCTTATATTTATCATTAAACGTCACTCCAAAACACAATGAGGTATGTACAAAAACCAAATGCTCCAACTAATTTTTTATAGAGATTATGGATACGACTGTTTCAGGAAGTGGTGTATCTATGTCTTCAGTCTGCTTTATATATCTGTATCCCTTTATATACATGTACGAACGGATTAGGACTGCACGAATATCTGTATACATCTTTGTATGGTATTTCACATATACATTGTAGGTCCACGGATCAGATTCGTTGTGAGCGTGCCTCTTGTTTAATCTTATGTGACGACTATGTGATGACGGGTACATCTTGTTCCGCTCATCAACAGTGTGCAGTGTGCACCGATGCATTGCACATTAAGTTTAAAAGTGTGTTAAAGGTGTTGCCGGTGCTATATCTGAAGGTAAGAGAGTCCTATACTGTATTGAACTGTGTAATACATAGCCTGTGCGAGGGCCCGAGAAAGGAGGTGCTCTCCGATCCGACACCCATGTGAGTGCAGAAATGTCGCAGCATGCACAGTCACGAATATCACATAATGCACATTCAAACTAGAATATCACATACATGCACATTCAAACTAGAATATCGCATACATGCACATTCAAACTAGAATATCACATACATGCACATTCAAACTAGAATACCACATACATGCACATTCAAACTACAATATCACATACATGCACATTCAAACTAGAATATCACATACATGCACATTCAAACTAGAATATCACATACATGCACATTCAAACTAGAATATCACATACATGTACATTCAAACTACAATATCACACACATGCCCATTCAAACTAGAATATCACATCC